TGCGCATGCACAGAGTTGCCAGATGCAGCGAACAGCTAAAGAACAGGAGTCGACTTGTGTGGAAGGCTACAGGCGGACGATGAATGGCCCCTCCCAGAGCAAATAAAAGAGGAGCGCCAGGGGAGTGGAGTTTGCTGGAGACCATTAGTTCCCTTCATTGGCTCATGACCCTCCGAGACTCCTTGCCAAGTTTTGCAGATCTCGGCCTGGCAGCTCTCCAAGCCAGATAAGGTCTGTGACTGTAAATCCTCCCTCGAAAGACTTTGCTGGACGTGAATGAACAGAATTCACAGTCAATGAATAAAGGGTGTTTTTTTGTCGGGACGAGGAGTTTGCTTCCGGCTCTTGGGAAGCCTCGGTCAGAACAATGCTTGACCGCCGACTCATATTCACCACGGTCGAGGTGTCTTGGGGGTCACGGGATTGATTCCCCTTCGCTGACCTTCCGGCTAGTCAAATCCAAAAGGAAGCCAGATCCGTGTATTGACTTAACGACGGACGGGAGAATTCACTGAACCCGTGTCGAGAAAGCTGGTACACATGGGGCAAAACTCACTTAACAACGGTCTCGGCAAATATATATTCCGGCCTCGATTGTGGTCGTTAAGTCAAGCATTAACTTGTCGTCCTGCTGGTTAGAGCCAGCAAGGGAAGCAATCCAGAAAGCACCCAGAATGAGAAGTGAAATGTTTGTGTCAAGGAGAAGGGAGGGGAAAAAAATATTGGCGGTGGCTGTGGTAGCAGGTTCCCTGCTGGGGCCCTGTTTAGGAATGCGTGTGCAGCTCTGGCGTGTAATTGTATGTGTGCGTGCGTACAGGAGGCTGGCCAATCAGGGCAGGAGAGGGGGAGGGGGAGAGCACGGGGGTGTGGCGGTTGGCAACAGGATACACAACCCCCCCTCCTTTTTTTTTGCACACACAGGGACACGCAGGCGAATATACAAAGAGCTGTACGACCTTCCCGTATCCTTTGCCCAGGGATGTGTGTGCATGCATGCATGTGGGGAGGGGGGATGGGATCAAGGGGAAAACGGGGGCATGGCGGGAAGAATTCACCCCCCCCCCACCAGTCTGCCCTTCTTTTTGGCCTTGCCAATAGGAAAAACAATCAGGAAGCAGAATGCGTGCTGGAGGAATTGGCAGGAAAGGTGTACATTGTGTGTGTATTTGTGTGTGTGTGTGTATATTTGCAAAATGGCTAGACGAGTTGACGTGTACAGAGAAAGCTAACCAAAGGGGGGAATTTAGAAGCAATTAACCGGCTGTGCGTCGAAAGTCGGGCTAAAATAGGCATCCGANAGAATAGAACATGGAATATAAAATAATAGAATATAGAATTGGAATAGAATATAGAATAGAATTCAGAATTAGAATAGAACATAGAATAGAATTCAGAATTAGAATATAATATGGAATATAAAATTATTAGAGGGTTCACTAGAATTGAATTGCATTGCTTTATTGGCCAAATGTGATTGGACACAGCAGGAATTTCTCAGTGTACATAAAAGCTATGAGTGATAAATCATAATCATAGTCATCCCAAAAATACATTCACCCTAAATCATAAGGTACCACCCTTGGCGATAGTCACAGGAAACTAAATAAGCAATCAACATACATCGTACTAGAAAACTAAATATTAATCTTAACAATACAAGCAACAAAGTTATAGTCATAAGCAAAAAAGGAGATAATAAGTAGGTAAGATGAGAAGAAGAATATTAATACAGACTCTCTGTGTTTTAAGGTAGTCAGATTTGGAGAAACTCAGCCAGTTTCAACCAGGAAACAAGTTCTGCCTAATTAAACCTTTTTTAAAAATTTTTTTAGGAAGAATGCAATGTGCTTCACAGTGCTTAAGGCCATCATAGAAAAATTAAGGTTGATTCCGTTAACCCTGGTTTCCTTCCCTGTCTTTTCAGGTCTCTATTACGTGGACAGCGAAGGGAATCGTATCTCGGGAACTGTCTTCTCGGTGGGCTCCGGTTCGGTCTACGCCTACGGGGTGATGGATCGCGGCTACTCTCACGACCTCGCGGTGGAAGACGCCTACGACCTGGCCCGCCGGGCGATCTATCAAGCCACATACCGCGATGCTTACTCGGGCGGCTCGGTCAACCTGTACCACGTCCGCTCGGACGGCTGGATCCATGTCTCCAGCGACGACGTCTCGGAACTGCGAGAATTGTTCCTCGACATGTCCGCAGAAGCCGTGGCTTGAAACTGTGGACCGAAAGGGTCGCGGGCGGGGGGAGGGGGCAGCAGGCTGTGAGGGTCTACCAAGGGGTGTATTTTCAAAGCCGTTGACAAACGAAATTTGTAATTCCCGACAGTTCGCAAGTGGTTGAAGAGGTGTTGACCAGTGATTTATGTTAATAAAATCTCCTGTTTCTTTGGCATTAAACTTTGCTTATCCAAGCTATTTGGTGTTCTCCTTGGAAGAAAGGGAAAGTGAGTGGTGCAGTGGCCTAGAGGGGGAGCTCTGGCCTCACAATCAGGAGGCTGTGAGTTTGATCCTAGGCAGAAGCAGATATTTCTCTCTCTGGACATGAGAGAATATATAACTCTGCATCGGTGACAGGAAAGGCATCTGGCCAGTAAAAACTCCGCTCCATTCCATTGCCCAGACTCTACTTCGCAAGCAATTATGGGGTCATTAAATGATGATGATGATTTGAAGAAAGGGAAAGCAAGTTGGATCTTGCCTACTGCAGTCCCACTGAGTGTGAGCATATCCACACCTGTGTTATACAAACAGATTCGACTTAAGGACCGTAATAGAGCTCCAGTCATCTTGGTTGCTAAGCGAAACAACTCTTAAGTGAATTTCTCTCACTATATTTCTTGCTGTTAAAAGTGAATCCCTGGGTCAATCAGGGACTTTGCGGTGTCCCTGTGACCAGCAAGGTTTTGGCTTTCCTGTCACCGTCTCTTCTTACCGGACCGTCCAAGGTCCTACCGGACCGTCCAAGGTCCTACCGGACTGTCCAAGGAGAAACATTTCATCGGCAGGCTCGGACTGTCAAGCCCGCACGATGTGTCATCACGACGCTGGCTCCTCCCTCCAGTAATTGACTTGTCCAAAGGTCGTAGAAGGAGATCACGTGACTCTGGGACTCAAACCCGGTCATAAGTATGAAGTCAGTCGCCAAAAATCCGAATTCCGATCACGTCGCCACGATGGTCCTAAGTCACTTTTTTTTCCCATTTTGTAATGGCCACGAAACGAAGGGTTGTAAATCGAGGACTAACCTCCGAAGGCCACAAAAGAAGCAGGGAATTGGAAACAGCCACAATGTGCTTTTTCTAATGCCGCGTGCAGCTTGGAACGCTCACTAAATGAGCCATTCGTAAGTTGAAGACTACCTATAGTGAAAAGATTCCCAGGTTGCTTCTCTCTCTTGATTTAATTTCCAATCATTGTTTCTTGTCCTGCCTCCGATGCTTTGGAGAATCATTGGACTCCCTCTTCTTTGGGGGAGCCTCTCAAATATTGGAATACTGCTATCGTACCCCCCACCCCCCCTAAATCCTTCTTTTCTTTAGAGTAGCGGCTAGCCAGACCCCCAAAACATACAGCTGTTTTCCCTGCTTTAATCTCCAGGCCTTGGATCCTCTTGGCTGCTCTTCTCTGAACTTTTTCCAAAGTCTCCACATCTTTTTTTTTTGACAGGCTGATCCCTTGGATAATCCTCTGCCTTTCTCTCCTCTTCCTCCCAGGTGAGTATCAGCCATCCCTCTCCCCCATCTCTCTCTCTCTCTCTTTCTCTCTCCCTCTCTTTCTTTCTCTCTCTGACTCTGTGTGTCTTTCTCTCTCTCTCTCACTA